TTCGATATCGTAGCCGCAGGAATTACAGCGCACCATGCCAAATTTTGTAAGCCCACATCGTTGCATCGATTGTAGAAATGTTTATCTTCTTTCAATATTTATTTTTTTTTATTTCTGATTTTATTTTATTTTTTCGTTATTGATGTGCCTTTTTCACGATTGAAATATTGATTTCTTTAAAAAATTCAACAAGCAATTTGTAAGCGACGATATCGATAAGTTTTCAACGATTCGTATGAATATATTTTTTTTATTTATTAATCTAATGCCATTTTGTATTATGTCCTACAGGGACAGATCGAGGGACAGACATAGAAGATAAAGTTATGGCTTCGCACAGATGTTTCTATTACTTTCTCATAATTATAATGTAGTAGCTAACATGTGATGCATATCACATCAATTTTATTTTCATAATAAGTAAATTAAAAAAAGAAAAAAAAAGAATGACGCAGATTTAACTGCATTAAAGATTAGTTATAATTAATTATGTATAAACGTAAAAAACCGTGTCATTTAATAATAATTATTCATGAATATTATAGTACATTGCAACTTTATCAGTATCGCTTCAGTAATTTTCTAAAAGACTATTATTGACACACGTAAACTTCTACATTATAAATGCGTTCGATCAATGAACTCCATTATTTGTGTTATATAAAGTGATCGTATATTTACTCTATCGCACCGATATACGAATTTTATTTCAAGTCAGTAAAGTATACTTATGTTTGTATAATTTTTTCTTCCCCTTTTTCATTTGTATGTAATCGCTTAAGATAATCTACAAATATTGTGTAGAAGTAGCATGTGTGTATCTTCCTTATAAATTATTGTAAATTAAATATTTACAGTAGAAATTCTCTTTTATTTTATGTCAGTCACAAATAAAATGTATTTACTGCTATGAAAGCAAGCCTTTTTCTTTAGTTCTCGATATACATATATTTTTGTTCGTTGTGAATCATTTTTAATTGACTGCCTTCCTTTACCAGAGTCAAAAATAAGGTAAGTAACGCATTTTTATTTTTTTTTGCATGATATTTTTGTTGCATTGCATGATTTATTTCGCATGTTCTTTTTTTTTTTTTTTTAATTATATATTAACATTTTTTTATATAATATTAATTTATTTAAAAATAATATATTTATCTGAATATTAACAAATGTTGCGATGATCACAATATTGACAGTTATTGATTTTAGCGCCAGGAAACGACCAATTCCATATCATCGACCTACTCCAACACCACCTTCGTCACCGAGTAGTTCAGATAGCAGCAGACATAGTAATTGGTCAAGTCCAAGTCATCGATCAAGTTGTTCTCCAAGTCGAAGTCCATCATACACACGTTGAAGCGATTAAGCGGATTCTTAAATACTCGACGTTCCTTTTACGTGTCAGATTTGGAATGGCATATATCGTGAAGATCCATTGATGCTTTTTCATGTTAAATCATGTTTGTTGAAAATTGGCACGAATGTAAAAAAAAGTTTCATGTATTTTTTTGTATCAAATAGATACAAAGAAAATACGCCATTCTAAATAGTGCATGATCTTTAAGTCTTTGTAAATTCATAATATGCATTTACATGTCTGATCTCGTAACTTAATAATACTCACTGATGATAGTACATTATGATATCATCAGCTTCAGTATTAATATATTAATATTATTGCTCCATTTTTATTTTAATTAGGCATTAGGAAAGAGTGATTTTAATGTACTTACAGATTGGTATTTATATTATTATTAATCTGATTATTATTAGGATAAATTTATTATTAAAAAAAAAGTCAAAGATTTAAATTTATCTATTACTTTTTTTTTAAATTTTGCAAATCTTTTTGAATAAAATTAAAAAAAGTTGCAAAGGTAATCAGATGAGATATTTTAATAATATTAATATGCAATGCAATATTTTATAATATAATTATTTTTAGAAGTACATTATCATCATATCATTGAATTGCATCACGATTTCATGAATTTTTAGTTTTTAGTTTTCATGAAGTTTTCATGACATTTTTTTATAGATTTATATATGTCTAAATACTTCAGCAATAAGAAGGCAATGGTGACTATAAGCATCATGAACTGTTGATTACAGCTTCTTGAGATCTCGCATTATTCAAATAACAATTTTATTATTTAAAAATTCATTTAAAACTACTCTAGTAGTTCTGCGTCCGCGTGATTATTTAATCATATAATTGTTTGTTATACAAACATCAGCTAGTCAAATTTTAGACATTCCATTAATTAAAATACTAGAACATCGTACGAATTAATATTATAATTTTTCAAAGAAGTAATAATTGATATTTTAGTGCAATGTTCTATATATTTCTTTTGTATATAGAATATACAGTATATAGAATATTATTGTGCATAAATGTAGCACTTTGCTCATTTACTATTTATTTTACATATTAAATATTCAGTAAATTGTTTATTTATTTATATGTCTCTTTTCTAATTTACATATTTATTTATTTATTTATATCACGAATAGTTAGTATTTATCAATTTTAAAAATAAGAAAATTGTATAAAAATAATGTTAAATTTTTAAAGTTTCATTTACTGGCAATACTCAATTTACCTGAATACTAGTCAGAAAATTTTTTTTTGGCTGTAAAGCCAGGCAGCATACTAAAAGACATAATTAGATTAGTCTTGATTATTCAAAGTTAAGTCTTGAAAATATATGTATAGGGTTAAAAAATCATATTTGAGAAGTCTACATTGTTTATAGTTAGGAGAACTATGTAGAATTAGCTCTTGCATAATGACTGACTCACTTTTAAAAAAAAAAAATAGTCAATTGTTATGGCGATGCAATATTAATTTTGTCATGATGCATATCTTTGAAATAAAATTGAAACATAAATAGTTATCATACAATACTTATTTTATAGAATTAATATAATAACTAAAAAAATTATTTTATCATTTGTGTTTTACATTATAAAATTCTAATAAAATATGAAGTTATTTATATGAATAGATGAGAGTAAAAATTTGTTATATTTTGCACACCATGACTCTTGACTTTAATATTTATTATTCATAATTTACGGCCATCAAATGTTACCATCGTTGAAATGAAAGAAATTCTGATTATATCTGTAATATACTCTGTATTGTTGTTGTGTGATTAAATTAAAAAGCTTAAAAAATTGCCTTTTTGTTTCACAAAACATATAAAATTTATTTGTAAATATCTTTATACATTTATAGATGATATCTAATTCAATATATATAACTCAATATATTTCAATTTTTAAATTATATATAATATATAATAATAGCATAATACATTAAAAATTTTAATATAGGAATGAAATTATTTACAGTTATAATATATTATTATCCTTACCAAATATGGACCCCAATTAACTAATCATCTCTTTTATATTTAATAACAAATGTTAGCACTAAATTTACATTATTATTTTTTTATTCCAGTTATTTTTGATTGTTTACTCCGTTGCTGTGCAAGATATATAGCCCAAAAGAAACCAATAAGATTTACCACAAGAACACGTAACTAAAATCATCAAATATATATTAATTTTTGAAATTCTACAAATTTATAAATATATAATTTTATTTTAAGCATTTTGAATTTTGAAAAATTTAATGGATTCAACTTACAATTGGTGGAACATATTTTAAGTTAATGAATTGAAGTAATGTTAAATATTTTAAATTTGCAGTAATTACTGGCCAATATAAACTTTTCATTTGTTTACATGCATCTTTATGTGTATTACCCTATTAAAATTTCAATTCAAATTATTGAAATAAAATTAAATATATAATTTAACTTAATAATAGTATACTTAATAGTATAAGTCAATATATAAAATTATACAAGCAATCAAAATAAATTAATATGTATAAATTAATAAATTATACCTCAAATAAAGATAGCATGTATAATGCTAATGCTTGGTAACAGGGTGTATATAAACATCTTTCTACTAACAAAAGCATAAGAGGATTTCTTACAAATAATTGTATATATGTGTAAAAATAATGAGGAAGTGGACCTCCAAAGATTAACCTATAAATAATAGATAATATCTCAACATAATAAAATATTTTTTAATGGAATATCGAATTATAAATATGTAGTTTTATTTAAGAAATTGAACTTATAATTTACTTATATTTACCCAAAAAGAGCAAATGCGAGTAAACTATCTTCATTAAGGTGTTTTACACCAGAAATTTTTTGTGACAAGAAATTTCCGAGAGTAGCGATAATACAACTGAAAAAATAAACAATATTTTCCTAAAATATAATTTAAAAATTAAATTAAATTAATGTTTATGCAATATACCTAGTAATTGCTTTAGTTTTCACTGGGCTAGTGTAAAGTCGCTCAAAATAAGCACTGGTAAGTTGAAGAATTAAATTTCTAGGTTTAGATAAAGCCATTTTGTTCGTTCTATTCTTTTACGTTGAATAATTAATAATTGAAATTTAAATATAATATTTTATAAAAAAAAAATCGAACGACCTGATGAAAGCAATAAGAAAAAATATATTATGAATGCTATATGTAAATTATTAAAGACAATATACGAACTTAATTAATTTTGAATTAGATATATAAATCTTGAATTTATAATGAAAATATTACAAATTTATTAAAATATTTGATTTATTAATAATTGTATTATAATAAAAAATGTTTATTTTATTATAACAACTTATGATATTATAATTGATTTAAAAATTTTTTTTTTCGTTATATAAATTTTTATGTTTGATAAATCGAAAATGAAGTAAAATATTTCTAAGATAAACTAAAGATATATAATAGATTTTTAATCATTTTTTTCGTATAATTGCGAAAGTATTTTTTTTCTATAAAATAAAGGTTAGGTTAAATAAGTTAAGAGATTAGCTTTTTATAAGAGTAAAATAAAATATACGCACATAAATATAATTAATTATTAATATAAAATTAATATATAGAAAATGGCCCAAGGTAAATTAAAAGTAAAAACAAAATTACCATCAACAGTAAAAGAAAAAAATAAAAATAAGAAAAATTTCGCTATTCGACGACGAAATAGTAAGTAATATATATTAATTTCATTTATGAATGACTATATTTGATTATTAAATTTTATTTTTTAATTACTTTTATTAATATTCATAAATTTATAAATTTTAAATAACAAAATTATTTATTTTTATTCATATAAAGTTTAAATTTTCTTATTCATAGATGCACCAATTCAGCCTAAAAAGAAGAAATTTGAAGAAGCACATAAATTAAAACAAATGATAACAAAAACAGTTAACAAAGCAATGGAAGATGAATTGAGAGAGAAAGCTTTAGAAGGAAAGAAATCTCTTACAAAAAAAGATTCATCTATTTTAAAAAAAAATTAGGTTATTCAATGTTAATATCAAAAAAGAATATTTTTTTTAATTTTTATTTAAAATCATAAATATAGATGTTTTTATATAGTAACTGTATTTTATCATATTTATAGAAAATAAAAATAAATGATACAAAATATTTAATTATTTAACTTAATCTAAGCTAATATATATGTATAAGGATTCAAATAACAGGAAATATAAAGCAAAATCATGTACCTATTAAAACTTAAAATTATTATTTTAATTTAATTTTATATTGTTATTCCATAGAATAATTCTGAACATGAAATCAATGGCACAATAACTTATGGAATATAAATATAGAAAAAAAAAATATTAACTTTCAGTGCACTTATAAAATATCTTGCAATAAATTATTTTTTTGTGCAATTATTTGATAATAGTTTCATAGAAGGCACAAAAGTTTTGTTTTTAATTAATTCATATCAGTGACAAAAGTTTTTCATTTCACTGATAATTCGCTAATTACAAAAATAAACATTTCATAAGATATTTTATACATTAACTTATATAGGTACAAATTTGCGAGTGTCATTTAATAAATGTACTAAATATTAATATATTATCTCTTCTTAATAAAATTTCACTCTAAATCACATTGATTAAGGCTGCATTACGTATCATGCATTTATATGTTGAACACTTCTTTCTAAGTACAAGATCATTTAAAATATTGTTTGGATATTATGGAGAGGCCACCTACAATATTATAAATACAATACATAAATACAAATTAAAAGTTATATTTTATTTGGAATATTCCATATCACTGAATGTTCTATTTACCACTAGTAAATGTCCGCTTTGTCTGTTTTTACTAATGGCTGGAGTTGTACCAGTTCTGAATTCGATTACACCTTCTTTACCACTGACTAGTTTATGTGAGACTCTGAAAAATAATTAAATATTCTTTAGATTAATACATATACTGTTAATAATATAAATCATTTATATTTATACTTACGATTCTGTATTAACAATTTTAAGAATATTTGGATTGTTAGTAATATCAATTGCTTTTGTTAATGCTTCTATTATATGTGGCACTTCCAAAATTAAATCACCCTAAACAGAATACCATATGTATTTAAATAAATATAATAATAAATAGATATATTTTATTTATGTTTTTAAACATCATAATAAACCAAACCTTGTCCTTTTTTAATTCGGGTGGTATCCTAACAATCAATAAATTATCTGATTCTCCAGTAACAACTAATTCTAAAATGGATTTATAAGGTAAACGATGTTTAAGTTTGAATGTTTTTAAGATGTCTAAAATATATACAGCATTTTCTGTTAAAATTAGTACTCTTTCGCGGGGCTTGTAACCATGTCGATCATATTTAATAACAGGAGTTATATACTAAAAAAGCAAAAGAAAAATAAATTTATTTTGATTAAAATTTAAAAAATGTAAATTTTAAGTATAAAAAACTTTTTACTTGTATAGTTTCATCTCTGGAAAGAATATTATTAATAAAGCTTTCTTTCAATGTTATGTGTTCAGCACCAAGTCGATCAATTTGGAATTTTTGTCCAAAACTTTTTGCATATGATTTCTTTTTGCCTTTGAATAAAAATTCAGCTAAAATTTTTAATTCGAACTGTTTTTTATCTATTTTTGACAAAGCTAATCTGTAATTACGTGCTTTCCATTTTTTGTACATGATACGTAAATGTTCAGAAGCCTAAATTCAATCATAATTTTTTTTTTTATAAAGAAATGATTAAATATAAAAATATAAACTTATATAACTTACTTCTCGACAAATATATGGACATGGTGGCCAATAATTATTTAAAATACCAACTGGAAGTGTCTTAGAGAGTTTAATTAACCATTGTTTTTTTCCTAATTCGAGAAAAGCAACATTAATTTCAGTTGGTGGCCCATTTCGTGTAATGAATCCTTCGATGAATCTGTATGAAATTATTTTAATATATTATTGATATTTAAAATATTAAGCACATATTTAAATAAGGAAATTGATTTATAACCGTCGAATAGTAATAACTGCTTTTCGTCTCTTTTCAGCTTCACGTTTTGCTAACCATCTTCGAATATACTTTTGAAAAACTATTGCTGCTTGTCTCAAATGAAGATATCTTCGTCTTATTAGTATACATTTCCATTTACTTTGAATAATAGCAGCTATCTCATGTTTCTTCATTTGAAAAGCGTCTTCCGTATCGAATAATGTTTTAGGGAATCGAATGAATAATTTTGTGCTATATCAAAATTATATCTAATATTAGATATATTTCTAATATATAAAAATTAAAAATTATATTTATTTATTAAAAATTTTTGTTCTTACTTGCCCATCTTATATTCATCTTGTTCGAAACCAAGATGACATACGAGGATTTGTACACCTTCTTTAGCAGAACCATGATAGTTAGGCCACGTTTGTGGACATAAAGATTTATAACGTTGTAGAAATTGTTCATATGGTCTTCTATAGGCAAAACCAGCTCGTCTCACTCTTAGATTTTCCATAAGACCTAAATATTTTACTTGATGCAAGATAATTTTATCGTTGAATTGATCTAAAACAATATTACAATTATTCTAAGATATGTAAAATATTTTTCAAATATAATAAAACAGAAATCATTGAAACTTACTGGGCATTTTATAATCATTAGGTTTTATACAACGAATATATGAAGGTTCTTTCCCCATAAGAATTTCCACTAAATTATTTAAACTATTTTTAAATTGTGTAATAGCGGTATCTGGTCGTTTTTTGCTTGTCAAATCTTTTACATCAAACACGTTCTATAAAATTACAATATTTAATATAAAAAAATTAAAGAAACAATATTTGTGTAATTTGATGAAAGTACCTTAATAATTGAATTCGTCGTGTGTGACATTACTTCACGTAAATCTCTATATAATAAATCATTATTCTTCTCAAGAAATCCACGAACATTATATGTTACTTCGCCAGCATAATGCACTAATCTGAATTCCTAAAATATATAATTATGTAAAAATGTTATATTAGAAGATTATAAGAAATTGAGAAATTTAATTTCGTACATCACGCCCCATAACTTTTTGCGTTTGTAGATCCGCTTTCATATGGCTTATATAGTGGGGATGATTGTTTAAATTTACATTTAATTTTTCCAGAAAACTTAAATCTGTTGGTTCTCCAGGACGAAGACATTCTTCATCCATTAAAGATATTATACCTATAAATATAAATAAATAAAATATATTATGTATACAATTTTCATTAATCTATGAATTCAAATTAATACCTTTATATTTTTCTTCAATTAAATCGCATATGACTTTATTATTAAAATATTGAACATTTTCCCATGTTATTCCTTCTCTTAAATATTCCTCTTGTTCTGATTTTAACGTTAATTGAATAAATAGTTGTTGTAATTTCTCATTACAGTAATTTATACAAAATTGTTCGAAGCTGTTGAACGATACCTTCAATAAATCGTTATTAAAAGAAATATTATTTAATTTTAAAGATTATATACCTGTTCTTCTGAAAAATTTCGAAACCATAAATATCCAAAATTCCTATGACCATTTTCTTTTTAGGATTATTAATAGGTTGCAAAGATTTATTCAATCTAGTCACCAGCCATGTGAACAATCTATCATATACAGCTTTTGCTAATGCATCTCGTGCATAAATGGCAAATTCTCTGTTTAGTGGAGAAATAACCACATCACCATGAGCATCTATAGTGCGATTTGTAAAAGCCTCTGCTAATTGTTTGATGTCGCAACCCAATAACTATAAATGAAATAGAAAAATTGAAAATAATTATTGATTGATTAATTTCTATCATATGAATAAAAAAAAATTCAAATTTATAAATGATATGTATAAATTTACCGAAGCAACAGCTTCAACAGAAGCTGGCTTCAAAATTTGCGCGACACCATCTTCTTCGGTAAAACCAACATTTCCCATATGTAATACTGATGCCACTATTGCAAATAAGTCATCCTGTTCTTTTTGACTCATTTCCATAGTTTTCATTGCTTTCATAACTTCATTATATTGAGAAACATCATCGATATTATTTATAGTGTCTTTTGTCTAAATATAATTTAAAATAATTTATAATATACATTTACATTATAATTAATTAATTATAAAATAAAATAACTTACTCCATTACTGAGATAATAATATGTATCTAAGTTTTTTTTTAGATATAATTTTCGCAAAGTTTCCTCATTAGCTCCGGCTATTAATTGATAAAATATATGGAAATTACGTTCTCCTAAAGATTGATGCACTACTCGTGACTTCTCGAGTAGATAATTCAAAATATTCCCACCGATTGGATCTCCCTGAAAAGATATTAAATTTTTTATTGATATATGAAATATTTTTTTGTAAAAATAAATAAATATGGATATTTAAAATAATATTTAAAATAATTCAATGCTATTTGATAAAATATATTAATGCTATTTGATGATACAAACAATGAGATATTGTTTTATTTGTACCTGAAAATTAAATTGGATATCCATGTACTTGCCAAAACGCGATGAATTATCATTCCGATTAGTCTTCGCGTTTCCGAAAGCTTCGAGCACTGGATTACTACCGATTAATTTATCATTTACTTCTTCCACTTGTTTCTTGTGACCGGTGGCAGCCGCAATAAACTCTAGTACTTTTTTCGAAGCTTCAGTTTTTCCTGAACCGGATTCGCCTACACAATTAATTCTAAGAATGTTAAATCTATCTTTGGTATCATTTATTACATTGTTGTAGAAGTAGAATCATCTTTAAAGTTCGACTAATTTTATTACATATTTCTAGTAATTATATACTATTTATAATTATTTTTTGTAAATTTTTCATTATGAATGTAAAAGACATATATAATATATTATAAAATTATAATTTTTTTAATAAAATTTTTGAATTATATAAATTTATATTTATATAAATTGAATCAAATTTTATGTCTTAAATTATTAAAATCTTTAATGCAAAATCTAGATTTTTCTAGCAATTCAATCTTACAGGTTCAGATTTATCATTATAACTAGCCCCAACCCTTAACTTGCTTTAACTTGCTTCCTACCAGAGATGAGAATACATTGATCCAAATTCTCCTTCAACAATGACTGATAAGCAGTATCAGCAAGCGCAAAACTGAAAAAAAAAAAAGACTTGAATTATCAATCATATTTTATAGTTTAATATCTTTTATTACATGTGTGGTGCAGCCTCAAAGAAGTTTCTTCCATGATAGTACTGAATAGTTTCTGGATTATAAATTGGTAATTT